GACCATTCAAACCTTCTACAGTGTATTCCTGTTTAAGTTAATTCAAACTTCTGCTTAAGTACTCTTTTATACTATGAAGCCCCACCCCCCAAACAAAATCTGGGAACCTGTTGTAGGTCATACACACTGCATGCTACCAACCTAGGGTTGCTGAACAAAAAACGTCTGTGCTTGGTGGATTTGAATGCTTACCCTGTTTAGGACGGCCAGCATGATGTTGACAGCCTGCATGGCCGGTTCTATCAGTCGCTGCCGGTTGACTTTCACCTTGGTGCAGAAGCACAGTAACTTGAGGAGAACGGCCAAGAGCTGCCGTCCACGGACGAGATCCGTCAAACAGGCAAGCCTGGTTAAAAGAAGTTGGAACACAAACGCCATCAGCCGGATGTGAGAGATCGCTGGTGGCAGGCAAATATTGTGAACATGGCAGGCTTCTGATTACCGATGCAGTTTGTGGATGTTATCGATAAGAGGCATACAACAATTCCTGCAGCATAAGCTGTCTCTCTATGAATGTAGTGGACTCGGGCTTAGCAGAGCAAGCATACTTTGTGGATAGACCACACTTTGTGGATTCAAGAACATCAGACACTTAACACACGTGGACAGAATCAACTAAAACACGAAGAAATGTTATGTGGATATAATAAACTGTGGTGCAAACTTACTTTGTGGATAAAGAAATATACTTTGTGGATGCACAAACACAATTTCTGGATGTAATCAACTTTATTTGCCGTACATACCTATGCAGCATGATCTCTAGTCCCTCGCATTCACTCATCACACCCGCCATCTTGTATGTCTCCTCATCATCAGCCTCCTCATCTGAATATTCATGAACATAAGAAATGGACCAATCAAGTCAGCAGATTACCTAATTGAATGTTCAACCATGAAGCAAGAACTTTTTTCCAGTGGGCAGAATCTGAGGTAATTGAAATTGCATAAATTTCTCTAAATGTTGAAATATGATTTGAATTGAACAACATTAAATGCAAAAGCACTTTGCAAAATGCGAATTTGACTCTGATCTTAAATTGAAACCTACCACTGTTGTTGTCCACTGATTCGATGATGTCCTCAGTTGCGTCGCCAAGGAGACCACGCATGCGATAAATGATGCGCATCGGTTCACCCTGAAAATGACAAAAAATGCTGTCCATGTCACCTGGATTGTCACTGGTCATCAGCAGCATGAAGTGACAAGTCGGTGTCACTGATAATGAGCTGATTAAGAATTTGCATAAGAGGGCAACTTGCAAATAAAAGCAATATCACATCAGCCACAAGTATTAAGAACACACTTAAACTTGTGGTGCAAATACATTTGGCAAGTCGCCAAGTGATATATCTTATGAGAAATGTGAGATACAAATAGCAATTACCTCGTTCTCAGGGCACCATATCTTCTGGTATATGTACTTGACAGGCAGGTCCAGGCTGATAATCTTGTTGTTGACCAACAGCTGTGCAGTTGATGCAAAAATATCAATTATCAGTACCAATGAAATGAGACACATTGGAAGTTTCACCTTAAGTTTCAGGCACTCTGTTAATTCAAACGAGAATACATACCTGTATACTGTAAATGAGAATTTTGATACATTCTCCAATCACCGTTTCATACAAGCAATTTTACGACGCACTCTTAAAAAAAATTGGCCAAAAAGGCGAGAAAAAAGTGTTGACATATTTTTACCTCCATGCCTGTGTCATCTTCAAGCAGAGCTATCAACTCACAGTCTGTCAAACAAAGCAGAAGGAAAAATAACTGAGAATTACTTATGCTCGCTGCTTTTTGAGGGAATAAGGAATTCCTCCTATTCACTTTGGTTTTAAACTTCTTTTACTCTTGAGAATTAAACAAATGTAAAATATTCAAGCCCTTTTTTATTGATAAAACTTTTCCTCAATTGTTTTCATGATACCCAATCTTTTGTCACAAGTGTGAAATTTACACTGCCAACTTTAGAGGTCAGTCCAGATCTTTCTTTCTGACGCTTCCATAAAGATATATTTCTTTGTTTCACTATCCATCTTTTTGTAGGTGTTTTGAAGAATTTCTACGTAACTAGCACTGAAAATGTTCAACAAATATTGTCATGCACTGAATTGAAACTCATTTTCTAGACAGGCCGATAGCCTTTGTTATATGGTCACAATTCAGAAATGGGCAGAATTTGGAACAGGGCCACCCATGCTGTCATACTATACTTGAATTGTCTCCCATTTAAGAATGGGTTGCATTCTCAATTGGGCAGGGTCCGCTGCCTACCTCTGCATATCTTGTTCTTGATGTCCCTCATGAGCGGCCCCATGTCCGGCTCGTTGGAGTTGTAGGGGTTCCCCTGCATGCGCCCCTGGAGGAAATCCTCTTGCTGCGGGTCTTTCTCCAAGGTCATGAAGAATACGCCCACGTCGTTCTCCTCCTACAAGCCACAACAACATTCTTAGGTTCGCATCACTTCGTTAAAGGACACATCACACAAGACTTCACACAGATAAACTCTTGGATTTATGGCAGTGAAGTTTGCAATATGTTATTCCATGAGAATAACAATACTAACTCGCACGCAGGGAACTAGATCAAGGTATCACATGTCATTATTATCCCCGCTCACTGGGCCAAAAATATTTCTTAAACCATCTCAGCTCCTTGGCAAGTATAAAGCTTGAAGCTGCCATGGACATACTGGGTATATGATGCTGCACAGTCTCTCGAAGATGAAGACCGGAGTTCGAAGGTCATCCAGTCCGTAGCGTTTTACCGTGTCCACGCAGACAGCCATGAATGCTCTGGTTTCGGACTCGGTGCCTATGAAAGAAAGTACTACAGAATCAACTCACTGGTCCTTGCCAGAGGTGGGCATCTTACGACATGGAGGAACATTCTAGTAAGAAGATATGTTTAAGGATCATCTCAAATTTCTGCATGCGTCTGTTTTCAGTTTCACAGATCGGTTGAACACTGAAATATGTAAGGCAGAGAAGATATCTGCTTAGTAAAAACAGGTCTACAGCTAAAATGCCATACAGTGTAACACCATAAGTGGCTGGTTCCGGGCCGATTCTGCTTAGCGGGCAAATTTGCTAAGCGACATCTCCACCCAACCACCCACCCACCCACCCACCCTACCACCCACCCACCCACCTGTGGTCATGTCCTCTAGCAATTCAAGCAGCATCTGCTGCGTCTCGTCCACCAGCTTGGTCCGCTGCACCACCAGCTTGCGCAGTGCCAGGTAGCCGTTGAGGACGGGGCCTAGCAGCTTGCTCTTGTAGTGGCGACGGATGGTGTCCACCTCCAGGAAGCTGGCCAGCAACTCTGACAATTTGACAGAGAAAGAAAGTACTTGAGTCTACTCAATCAACCTTGTGCTTCCGCTCTGAATTAGGTACACCCCAAAACCTTGCTTTGTATTGCTTTAACGTGATCGAACCTACTGACTTGCCCCTCTAGAGAGTGACCCTTTATGTCCCATCTCCCAAAAAAGGACTCTGGAATACCCATGGAAAAAGCATGTCTTCAACCTTTTCAGGTTCCTTTGCAGTTTGCAAAGCCATTCTATAATATTTAGTGATAATTTTTCAATCAGACTTGCATCAAAGTGCTTGAAATTCAGATTTGACAAATACCATTTGACCCCACATAATGTCTTAGTATTACAATGTAGGCCGAACTTTGTAAAATCGTACCCAACCCTACAAGCAATCAGCCACCACACAAACCCCATAAGCCACAACACATTGTTTATAGTGTAAAGAAAAGCTCAATTCCAGGAAGGTATCTTCGTACCTGTGTCCTCAAGCAAGCTACTTTGATCCAATCTTTTTCTTTTGAGCAGCAAGTTAATTGCATTATTGTAGCTTACCTGTCAGCATCTTCAGAGCGTATCCCTGAGACAGGTCCGAGCTAAGCGTGGTCTCCTCCAGAGACAACAGGATGTCAATCTCCTGAAAAAAAAATGGAGAAATAGGTCACTGGATGGCATCCAAGATGTCACCTGTTTGCCAAGTGTGACTTTTTTCAAACAGCAAAGTGATAAAAAAGTTGGGATAAACTACCTTAAAAGCTGCTAGGGTTACCTTGGGTTGCAAGCTCAAAATCTTCCACAGAGGAAATCAAAAGCAAGTCTCCATATTTAACCCTCGTGAGATCAATATTCATCAGCATGTCGAACCAAGTCATATATCAAATCAGAGAGGTGAGTGTGCTTTTATCTAATGCATATAAAATGCTTGAGTGAAACAAATGTATTTAAGACTCATTTTGCCCGATCAGGTCAACCTTTTGACACCAGTTTAAGAAAGTGAATACATGTCCTGCTTGTCTCATACAACGTAAAACTCAAAGTCTACATGATCATATACAAAATAAGCTTGGCAGTTCCAATGGACAGAAGAACAGACAACCCCCATCTTTCTCTCCCTCTTCACTCAAACAACGACTAGCTCACCTTAGTGATGAGCACCCCAACGTGGGGGAGCAGGCCCTTGGCAGCCAGGTAGAGCTTCCAGTGAGGGGCCTTGGTCAGGCGCTGGTAGAGCGTCAGGAACTCTGCTGCGCTCTCTCCGCTGGGCCCCACCTCGTCCAGGTAGCTGGTCAAAAGGTCCAGCATCTGCTGTCTACGACTGGACACCTGAAGTGACAAAGAAGGCATAATTAATGAGGGCAGTAGTTTAAGTACTAAATTATATTTTGAGAGATAGGTATGAGGTCTAAATATTTCAAAAGTAGAAGATGGCCAAATTTAGCACCAAAGATTTTCATCCCAAAAAATCTTGTTGTGAGCCTCTTACTTGGCAGAGCGACTCCACAATGTTGCAGGCCACCTGTCGGGCGGCCCGAGAGGACGGGGAGAAGAGTACACCCCTGAGCCAGGTGCTGCCCCCACCCAGGTGGAGGTTGTCTGGTGAGCGCTTGAGGCCTTGCTTCCAGCGCCGGGCGTACTTCTCCATCAGGTACTTGCCCCGTGTCTCCTGGTGGCTGGCTTGCTTCTCGCTGCTGTCTTCTGGAATGGCCAAGTAAGTTTAAAGTTGTGATGGCTATTGTATTGCGTCAGGTGATAGGTACTAGGTACTTATGTGAGGTGCTAGCACAAAGGTACTAACACTGGTTAACTAAACAGAGTTCTCATTATGTTCTGATGTTGAGTGCTGACTACAAGGTGCTTCATGTGCAGTGCCTGGGGCATGTTACTTAACTGGCGTGCTCCGTTGGGTGCTGTTGGGTGTCAGGAGCTAGGTTAAGTTTAGTGCAGGCAACAAGAAAATTACTGTTGATGCTAGGAGAATGTACTTGTATCTGAGGTGTTAGAGGCACCTGAAAGTGCTACCACCTAAGTGCTTATTTGGGGCACTAGTGTGAAGGTAAGCACGAGAGGTGCTAACAGAGTGTTCAGAAGCTAGCAGATTGGTAAATATGCAAGTTGCTAGCATGTGCGTACTTGCATTGGGTGCTAACAGCTGGGTACTTACTTGGAGCGCTAGCGGGTATCCTTTGCTTCCACATGTTGTAATCCACACCCTGTTTGGCTAGCCACTGACGCACATTGATGTACACGTCTTGACCCTCCGGCTTCACGGTACTCAGATGCTCAACGTTTTTATCCTGATCAGCATAAGAGAGATTAAAAAGTCACAGTAGACACTTCCATTCACAAATACACATGGTCAATGAAAAGCTTCCATTAAAATCTGCTTGAAGCTGTGAGTTGAGTACCAGTGGTTTGATACTCAATTTGGCACTTATGCTCAAACAATCAAACTAACAAACACGGAATTTTATTCATATCAAGGTAAACAGTGATTTGAAAGCATTTTCATTGGTCAAAGTGCGCACAAATTTCAGGCACAGTCAGAGAGGAGAAGGCCCTGATTGGCTGTGAGGCTCTAAATCACGTGACCGCAGCACTGACTGTGAACCAGTCTGAGGCACTACTTGCTGTCTTTGTTGAGAACGGAAAATGTCATGTTTGTTTCTGTCACACACTGACCTTGTTCTTCTTGCTGGCAGGTGCCGGAGGCTTGACGAGGAGATGGAGTATTCTCAGACAAGGCAAGGTCACGTTCTCCATGACAACGGGGCTGTTGGTCTTCACTGCTATCAAGAACAGTTTCATCACTATAGCAACGAAAAAACAAAGAAAGCCCCAAACAAGTTAAAGCAAAAACAGAACAATAACATGATGTCTCAGGGAGAGTTTCTGAGAGCATCTGAGAGGTTTTGAAGTGAATATGACTGCACCGATTTACCCCAACGACGTCACGATATTCCGTGCAGTACATGCCATGTTACTTTACATACTTATGGCTACGGCCCTACAAGGGTTGACAGGAATTCAAAGACTTACCACATTTTAGCCGCTTCTCCCAGCAGGGATCATCTTTCTCTACGGAGTGGACCAGGAGGGCCATCTCATTTCTAACGGCACCGGCCTTGAGGAAAAAAAAGGGTAATATAAAACGTTCAACCTAGCTATGCCAGTTGCATTATTCTTGCAAGGCCAGGGACGGGCATATCTTGCATCTGTACTCTGCACCAGTCAGCACTTGCAATTGCATTTCCTTAACATTATGAATCGTTACATCCACAGCAAAAATGGATTCCTGCGACTAGATCCTACCAGGTCTGGGTTAGACTTGTAACTGTTGAGTGCGGCCGTGATGCGGGCCATCAGGATGTCGTTCAAGACGTGGGTCGCATCCGCGTTGTCACGGGTGAGCAATGCCAGCAGCTGACGCACTTCGCTGCGGAAGATGGCCGAGCCACGGCGGAGGTTGTACTCAACTAACTCCTGAATCAAGCCCTAGTGACAAAAGCAACATCAAATGTCTCAAGTTAAAGCCAATTGGCACAACATTTATGCCCACGGTCACCAACACAAACAACTCTACTTTAAGTTTTTAAAAATGACATGAAAACAATATGTACAACATGTATCGTGAAAATCTCTCCGGTGCTGTTCACAATTTTTGTCTGATTTCTGGAAAAAAAATGATACCAACATGCAAAATTCCTAAGTTTTTCATTATCGAGCAAGGACAAAATTTTCTAATTTCTGGTTTCAAAAATGAGAATGCAGGACCTATTAAAATTCAACAATTATCATCGGCTTATAATAAATTATTTATAATTTATTCATTTATAACGCGCATATTCCATACAGGGATGTTCAAGTGTGCTGTACACTTATTAACTATCAAATGGTTGAGCCAAAGGCATGCATACGGGCAAACATAAGGCACGCTTGCCAAGCTTTTAACAGAAAAGTGACAATTTACACGCAGGTTTCCGCAGCAACAGTACCTGATCAGCAATGATGCGTCTCGTCTCGGCGTGTGAGGCCAGACCCCTCAGCAGGGTCACACAGTGCTCTGTGGCGGCCGCGGCGCAACCATAGCAACGACCCTGACTGTAGACAGAAAATATTCATTTCATTACCATTCACTGAATATTTATAGTTGGAATCGGGCCGAACCAGGACTAGATGCCTGACCTCTAGCCAACTGGTCAAGTCATCAACCTCCTGAGATGCTGGATTAGTGACATGGTTAGGCAGGCCCTAGTTCTGTTGTTAAAAAGGTGACAGGATTGAATCCTGTCAGTGTTACTTTTACTCCATAAATTGAAAAAATGCTACATTGTATCCATTTTTTTCATTCAGTGCAATTCATTCTGGAACCTTTTATAATTGGTATTATTCCTCTCAAGACCTGGAGACAAAACCTTGCACAAAGTAGGACCAGAGAAAGAGCTCCTCGAAGAATATCAAACTCTGTGCTGAGTTTACAATTGTTGAATATGAGCGAACTTACTTCCTCTGGGTGGCCTTGCAGCTGGGCAGGCTGACGGCCATGGTGCTGGGTGACGGCGAGGGGTGGGGGCTGGTCAAGGGAGTGGCCACAGGCGTCATCCCTGAGCTGGGGCTGATGGACTTGAGGGCGGCGTCACGCTGGCGGCGGTCATACTCCACCAGCTCCTTGCGAGACGCTAGCACTTTCTGAAAGATGAGGATGGTTATTCTTAAGTATTTTGGGTGGGCATTAAAGAATATATAGAAGGGTATTAAAACGTATTCTATTTGGGCATTATAGAATATTTCAGGTAGTTAAATACCACATAGTATATTAGATAGGTATCCCAGAGGATTTTCGTTGGACATACAGGGCTGTTAGATGGGTATCACAGGGCAGTGTTGTAGTCAAGACCAGACACAAGACCATGCACAAGGCCAGACACAAGTAACAGGGTGAACAATGGCTAAGGAATGCTTTTATTGCAGTTCATTTGAATAGCTTGTGGCTTGAATTCAGACTGGAGGTCTTGTGTTGGTCTTGTGAAGGTCTTAAGTGGTCTCGACTACAACATTGTTACAGAGTAATGCAGATGGCTATTGGCAGAATATATCGGATGGTATA